CGCAAGATATAGTGATCAGCGTCCGCGCTTCGATCAGCCGTGAGGCACCAGCCCGTCGGTTCGTTAAGCTTCCTTTTGTTTCTGCTTCTCATAAATCGCCCGCACATTCCCGATATCGTCAAAGAAACGACGACCTAACGCGCGCACGCGACTGCGTCATTTATGTATTCCTCGCCGATAACACCTTTACGTTCCATTAACGTGAGAGAGAATCGGCGGTAAATTGCATTCACCTCTCCCTGTGATACTTTGACGAGGCAAACGTTTGGCTGGAGCGTGTCACGATAAGAAAAATCAAACGCTAGAGAACATAAAGTGTGTCCCCGCTATTTCTCGGTTAATGGAGTCTCTCTCTCTCTCTCTTTCTATCTCTCTCTCTCTCTTTCTCTCGCGTCTGTTACGAGCATATAGTCGCATTCAGAGGTTTACAGACGATCTACGTGCCGTATAGCTGGATTACGTCGGATAGCTGGCTCTTAACAACGGGACGCGACACGCAGACAAAACGCGTCACGATGCAACGCGCCCCACGATCTGTAACGGTAAGCTGTGTTGCCGTCACTGGCAACGTAAGCGAGCCGTTCCGGACGGAAAAGAGTCGAGTCCGAGAAGACGATGTCGAGAAATTAGCGCGGGTGTGTGTGTGTGTGTGTGTGTGTGTGTGTGCGCGCGTGCACGGGTCAACGAGCTAAAAAGATCTCTTTCCCTCCCTCTGCTTTTCCCGCTTATAGCCCGCGGGGCTTCTCGTCAGCGCGGCTGCCGCGGGGTCCGCATAATTTCGTGAAACACAGCAGCGACGCATCCCGCCGCACCAACCCTTGCGCTCGTCCTCGCGAGCGCGCAGCCATTTTTACATTAACGTACAAGCCGCCGGAGAAACAAACGAGGACGTGGCCGGGCGTAACCGCTCGGCAGGAATTTTACGATTATCATAAACACGCTGAGTGAGACCGTAAATACGGGCACGTGTGGTACTACCGGCGCGCGCAACACTGACGCATTCCTGCCGCTTCACGACGACAACGACGACGACGATACAAGAAAGCGTGTTTTGCATTTACACGCGCGCCGTACGTTAGGTATTCGCGCCGGTCGGCCGGCTTTCCCAGATACGTCGGCATTTAAATGCAAATTCGCGCCGGATATCGCGTTTGATTCCGGCATTGGCGCCGCGGAGAGTCACCCCGCGGTCTCACGTAGCGGCGTTAACATCGGCTTCTCGATGATCATCTTTCTCGCGACGTTCTCGCACAGCGGGTGATGCCCGGCAATCGTGAGTTTACAATCGCAGCAAGTGGATGCGCATGTGCGCGTGTTGTGTACACGCGCGTATGTGTACACGTGCGTGTTTGTGACGTCGACTGCTCGCGCGCACCGTGCATTATACGTCGCATTAAACTCATCGATTTGCGTACGACCGATGGAATTCCGCGGGACCGGGCGACGGTTTCAACACGCGAATACGTTTTACCCAACTCGCACCGTTTTACCCGCGCTCTGCACCTTGTGCAGCAGCGACGCAGCGAGAGCGAATTGTATATTTTATTACGACGATTATCGAATCGGCGATTATTGCTTTTTAATTCCGCGTTCTCTCGATTGGTTTTTAATTGAATTACAGATGTGTCCTCGCGCCAAATTCCCTCCCCATTGTCCCCGTCGGTTATCGCCTCTTTCCTTCGCATTTCTCTCTTTATTATTCCGGCTCGTTTACGGCGGAATACGCGATATAAATTATGCCGCCATTTCGCGGTAAATTATCGATTTTGCAGCATTCATGTCGACGTACATAATTACACGGATCGCGGCATTGTTGCACGGCTATGGCTGGTATGTAGTATTTGTCAATGGCGTAATCGGGATCGGAAAAACGTTAGGGCTGGCGGCGGAACGGCCCTCGATGCTATGAATTCTAAGGCTGCCACGGCCGGTGGCGCGCGGGAAAAGATGGGCGGGAATAAAAGCGGGACTACGACGAAGGGAGAGAAAGAGAGAGAGAGAGAGAGGGTGAGGGGGCACCGCGCGCGAACCCCACGTTGATCGAAATGGAATTTATGTTACAATATTGACCGGTTGCTCCACTCTCGCACGCGGCCGCCCCGCTTCCTGCGTCAAGATGCACGAGTTCGCATAAGCGTCGACTCGCTGCAAAAAGCGTCCGAAAACCGCCCGTCGCGTGGACCACGTGGTGTTTTAATGTGAAATTTCACACACCCCTTCACCTCCCTTCCTCCACCGACGACAATTAATTCATCTCGCAGTATTTAACCGTTCGGCGTCGCGAATTGACACACGACCGCGGGATTCTCACGAATTAATGTTGCAAAAATAAAATCCCGGGAGTTATTTGAGTCCCTGCACAATTACGAGAATATTGAATTAATATCTGATTAATTTTTAATATTTAATTGGAATGGATCGGCACGAATAAATGTAAAATTTATACTACTAACGTAGTGCGCGACCCTGTGTGAATGTTTGATATGTATATATTTTTAAAGTAATTAATTTAAATATCCCAATGGAAGTTAATATATAACTGTCGCTATGAGGCTTTCACGCTTGCAAGGCATGTAACAATTATAATTTCTACGTTTCCTTTTTGCCTCTCTCTCTCTCTCTCTCTCTCTCTCTCTCTCTCTCTCTTTGTAACATCATTGCGACGCAACCTGCTCATGTAGCGCATTTACAATTGAGAGTGACGATCTACGAAAGAAAACAGAAAACCCTCAGGTTCGAATGAGCATTGCGCGTCCCTCAAAGTCGCAATCAAGGATTGTCGTCGCTCACAGAGCCGTGATTTCCCAAAGCCCACGCCTATGTATCCTCGCGCCGCACTCTCTGCCTGCAATCTATATATGCATATATAGTAGACACAATATGCGGCGTTCGTATCCGAGCGCGAGGAGAGGGCTCGCATGGATGCGCACACCGTGCAGTCGGCACGTGACCAGGTCGTCGGCGAAGGGTGATGCTTCGTTTTGGCGAAGCGGCCGATGGGGCGAGGGGGCTCGGCGTAGAGTCCCGTCGTAGTTCGACGACGACGTCGACGACGGTGGTGCACCGGGGACAACGACACGGCGGGGGTTCCCCTACCACTCGTGAAAACCAAAGTGGAATTCTGCGGGGTGTTACGGCCTGTTTTACGATATTAAATCACGCCGCGCGGCGTGTCCTCGCTTCCTGCCGTCTGGTGAACTTGTTCCGTCCTCCACGAGGCACGGGCTAACGCAGTAAGATACAATAGGGTCGACTACCGGGAGAGAGAGAGAGAGAGAGAGAGAGAGAGAGAGAGAGAGAAGGGGAGGGGGAGAATGTCGCAAGCGACACCCTCGGTCTAGCAAATTGATTCCATTTGCATAGCTCGCGCCTATTGTGCACCTAGCGCCTGAGCGCGTCGCACACGCTGCCACGTGGTGGACGGTCGCTGGGAGTGTGCGGCGGTCAGTGCGTGCGATATTCTCTCGAGCGCGCCTGTTAGACGCTTGAGATAATGCGATACGTTCAAGTGTCGGATGACTTTAATTCTCCGAAGCCCTCGGACGCGAAACAATGGGGTGACGGAAGGAGGAAAGAACGCCCCGCGCTCTTGGTGTCTGTAGGTCGGGCTTGAATTTCCATATGAGATAAGCGCGTTCGGTTCAAGGCTCGCTGCTCCAGATCGTTGGATTAAGCAGGATCTCGTAAGGGATACACCTTTATACTTATCGTCTTTATATTTGCCGATGAAACAAGAGAGGGATCCAGGAGGGACGAGTACTTCGAATCTACTATATGAGAACCGGACACACAGAGAAACATAAGCAGTAAGCAAATCGACGAATCACAGTCGATGATTCTTTTTGCGATTTAAGAATCAGCGACTGTGATTCTTTCAGCGGGCTTATGTTTTACTGCTCAAGTTTTTGTGTGTGCCATGGTCTTTAGGGTTCTCGCACACAAATTTTCGTAACCGTAGACGTAAGATGTAAACTTAAACTGAACAACCAAACAGGATATTGCTTTATCTTTGCGTACTCTAGAAGAAGATAGAACTGACGGTGAAACTGTTACGCAGAAATAACTAGAATCCAACCGATTGACATTCTAGTTGCTCAATCTAAGTTCTAGTTACACCGTTATTTATGTCAAAATTTGTGCGTGGGAGTCTTTAGTACCTTAAATCCACCTATAAGTCCGCCACCTATTTCGCGATAAAATAAGCGACGCGTCTTCCGAATTCGCCGAGCGTGTTTTGCACGCGTAGCTGCGCGCACGCTTACGGCACGTCGTCGAAACGAATGCTAAATGCCGCTAAGTGTCGCCGGAAACGCCCCACGGGAGCTTGCGTCCTTTGTGCGCTCTCTTCCCTGACTTTTGCTCCTTCTGTCCAATAAAAACGCGACTCTATGCAAAACAGTGTGGATCCTGGAAGCTGAACTCGCGCCATGCAAGTTTCGGGACGTACGTTGTATCGCGGTGAGTTACACGGACCCCATTGTATCCTCCCCCGTAATATTATGCACGCTGAAATATTACGAACAATGCGCTGTCGGAGTAAAATAATACCCGAAGCACAGAAATTAATATTTTAACATTTCCCCGGGGCAGTGAATCAGGATCTTTTCTTGTTCTCGTCGGCCAAGAAAACGTCGCGAAAAACCAACATCCCGCGTGTACTTTGCATTTTCGCGTTATCACGCTCCTCGATCCCTACGACGATTCCCATAAATTCTTATTTCTCGGAATGTCCCAGCGCACACGCAGGGCAGGGGTAAAGAGAGCTCCTTCGTTAATCTTCCGAGATGTGCGGCTATAAAGCAAGTGAGAAAGAGAGAGAGAGAGGGAAAGGGAGAGACGTGGCATTACTACGACTCCGCGAGATGCGTTATAAAGCATTCGGCGCAACCAGTTAGGAGTCATACGGAGCGTCAATAATGATAGCTCGCGTCGTTCCTGCCTTCATATAACGATCGAGTCGTACGCTCTCTCTATTATCGAAGCTCGTATGCCTCTGTCACCGACGCATTATGTTACGTGCACCTTCTCTCCTCTTCGCCGGTGGTGCACGCGAGCGATGTGCGATCATCGCACACGCGACGCGCGAATCGAATGTTCGCGCGATATTAGCGGTGCGAGTCGCACATGCATTACTCCACGTGCACGCACGTCTCTCTGCGACACGTGTCTGTCGTTGCAATTGTATGCACGCAGCGAGAGAAAGCCCTTTGGCTAAGCGCGATGTCTAATCGCTCGCGATCTTAAAGCCTATCTACACTAGGACACGAGATTAAACGCAGCGTTACGTGTTTCCTCGTGTGTTCTCGCACGAGCCTCGGGCTTTAATACACAGGACGCAGAAAAGTCGGGGGCTGACTTCAGCCAGGCGTATCTCTCTGTCCGTCGATCTTATCATCAGCCGTCCCGTGCAGTCCATCCCGAGAGAAGAAATATCTGAAAAATAAAAAATATTTATCCGATGGGTATCAGGATGGCGAGTGATCAAGTATATTTTTTTTACGCTTAATATGAGTTAATCATTTAATTGGGAGCTGTTTGATTATTGATTTGAACAAATTCCATCGAAGACTATTCGATTGACAATTTATTTCAACGAATTCAATTAAAGATTGTTCAACGATTGATAATTTATTTCAACGAATTCAATTAAAGATTGTTCAACGATTGATATGAGCGAATTAAAGATCGTTTAATTGATAATTTAATTTTGCAGATTTAAGTAACCTTAGAACTCTCAACGTCAAAAAGTTACGTAGATTCTAAATACGAATAAATTTTACCCAGCATGTTTTTTATATTTGCTTATAACTCCCGGAAAAACATTCGAAATTCAATCCTCTTTTTTTCAATCGGTGTAAAAAACATTGAGATGAACCTGGCGTGAAAAAAACATTGATATGAATCTGTTGATATTTTTATGATTCATTGAAGTTGGAAAAAGTTATTAAAAAATAAAATATGTTTTTTAAGAATGATAATGTTTGAAAAATTAGTATCTACATAAATTTCATTCATGTTTAGGATTTTGGGATTAATGATCATTTAATTGACGATTGAACTTGGCAAATTTAGTCAAAGACCATTTTCACTGGGAGGAATCAGTAGTCCATCAGTTTGAATTGCTTACATATTTGTTCAAATTAATTATCGAATTGAGAAAATTTTAATTGATATTTTTACAACTCTGGTGGCTACTAATAAGATATTTACTTAAATCTGAATTCTTTCTTTTAAGTGAAATAAACAATTGCGTTCGTGAAAAGCTAAGGTTTTAAGAAAAAATATATATTATTTGGAAGTATATTATTTGGAAAATCTTTTATATCAGTATTTTTTCTCAGTGTATGGTAGATTACGTGGATGCAAAGTTCTCGTATTCTTGCATTTTATGTAGATGGATCTTTAGGGCAAATTTAGGGCCGAAAAACAGAAACTGTCGACTACCATTTGACCATCAACACGACCTCTGCTTAACTTGTGCCTTTCTACTTCCGGCTTTTCTGCCGAATTTTCTATGAATTCGCCTTTAGTTTCATGTAAAGATGCGAGTTGAGTTGCGTTGCGTTGCGTTCGTCAGCGTTACATGTCTTTGCTCTGTTAGTTCCCATCTGTGTTGTGGCCGGCGCAACAGCCGGCCGACTCGCGATGGTGTCATTTTCTGTTTAACTTTGGGGCGGCAACGCACGCTAACGATGGAACGCTGCGATGCACGAAGGCGGGTGAGACCAGCCGGTAAATTTCGATGACGATGGAAAAACGGGCGCGTGCTGACGAACGGACTCGCGAGATCGTCGACGCGGAAAAGTCCGTTTATCGGCTCCGGCTGATCTCTTCAGGGTTACGTCGACGCGTGCAATATCCTATCGACGCGACGTTCTCTCATGCGGTCGGTTTCATCATGCGGGATCGTGAGGCTCGCGCTTAAGCCACGCGCCTCCGACCGGCCGCAGGTCGGAAATGGAAATGGAATTTCGCCGCGATTTTATGTGGCGCGTATTAACGTGCAAGCGCATACACAGACAGACAGACAGACAGACACACACGTATCGCGCGTGCGACAACGTCGTCGCGGCCAGATTTAATCTGGCCCGGTAACAAACCCGATTGACATGCGGCAATTTGTTCCGCATAGGATGAGCGGCGAAATGAAATTATTAAATTTGAGATTGCGCCCGGAGAGTGCTTTTTGCGGTGCTTATATGCGATCGGCGGGGCCCGCGTTTAAATCACCGCCGGCCGCGCTGCGCGCACGAGCGCGATTATATTCAATTCGATAAATACACGTTCGCCCTGCGAAGATTACACGCTTGTGCGTTTGCGATTTACGCGACTGTGTGTGTGTGTGTGTGCGCGCGCGAAAATGTTCGTCGCGTAAATCATCTCATTCGCGCGTAAGATAAACGTACCCAATCCTGGATTGGAATTTTCATAGTTTTGGTCTTTAAATGCCAATATTTCGATTGTTAGCATCAAACATACGTGTGCACATTTTATGTGTGGAAATGTCCGTATTTGAAGATTAAAACAATAAAGCCGTACAATAGCCGTAGGAGTGCGCAGTAAGACGTGAGCAATGAGCTAATTGATCGATAGGACGCTTAAAGGTCCATCTACAATGGGATTGGCAGTAAGCAGTAAGCAAACTGATCAGCTATAGTCGATTATTCTTGCAATAATAGGTCTTGCTATAATGGGTCTTATTGCTTATTGTCAATCCCGTTATAGACAGACCTTTACAGTCCAAGAATAATGTAGTTGGTCAATTCGCTTACTACTTATTTTTAGCTACTGTAGAATAAGCATAAGAATGTTCAGGACTGAGTACGTGTTCGCGCACTACACTGATGCTACACTGGTGCTGTAGCCTCACTTTAAACGCGCCCGGGAACGAAAACGAAAACGAGAACAAGGCCGAGAAGAAGGCGAGCGACGTAAAACGGAATCAGATAATCAAATTCTCGGCGTTGTATTTTGCAAGAGACGCCATCCCGCCACTGTCATTGTCGGAGCAGCGGTCGGCGTCGGGCCGCCGGACGTCGCGTACGCCGACCAAGAAATATTAACGTAGCCGTTGTTAAGCGGTCTTCCCTTCAGGCTCAAAGCCGAAGCTATAAAAAATGTCCAAGTCCGTCTGGATCAGCCTCATCTATAATCCATTTGTCGCTCCACTTACATTTACCTTCGAAATTCTCCTTGAACGTACCGACGAGTCGCGAGCTTCGCGAGCAATGCAGCAGGCGACGACGACGACGGCGACGGCGGGCGGGGCGCGCAGCTTCGGCGTAATGCAGCAACTCGACGGTTCCCGATAGCAATGTTAACGAACAGAAGCGAGCGAAACTTAAGCAAAATTTATTCGCTTAGTCCCCTTCTATCGCGCGGAGTAATTTATCGCGGCTTATAGATCACCACCACCCGCACACCCTCGCTTCTTTCTCTGCTGCGCCGGTCGCGCTCTCTTTATGCCCGCGCCGAACGAACGAGAAGCGAGAGCCCGGCAGTAAAAAGCGTTTGTACCGTGGAAACGGTGCTACGTGCTGCGAATCCGCCGCGGAATTTTTAATTTAGAGTCGGCGCCGCGCTTTGCCGCCCGTGGGGTCGCGGCACCTCGTAAAAGCGAGGAGCCGGCTGTCCGAGTAACCTGCAAAATCAGCCGCTGCCGCCACGGGAAATTAGGATCGGCGTGCACGCGCTGCGTTCCATGTAGAACATGTGACGTACAGGATGACGAGAAAAGCGTGGATTCGTTTCTCAATTCTTCGCAAAAGATACCCAGTCGAAACTCTGTTCCTACTTTCGACCTCAGTGTTCCATTTATCCTGTTACTGTTTTGACACTCTGAAACTTGTTAATATTTCTCGATTCTATTTGATCTTCAGCTTCGCTGAAAGATTCTGTTTGGAATCTACAAGGAGCATTTTGTGCGTTTTCTGCCATTTAAGACGTATTACAAACACACGTACACACTGCTCGAAATTTTGACCCTATTTTCGGCCTCAATATTCTATTTAACTACTACTATTTTGATATTCTGATGTTTATATCAACCTCTTTTGAGTCTAATCGACCTGCTGGCTTTGCCGAGAAGTTCTCTTTAGAACCTACAAGTGATATTTTGTGTGCTTTCTGCCATTTAGAGGCGCTAAGTAAGATTTCAGTTTCCAAGTATATTACACACACACACACACTGATCTCTCAGAGTATACAAACGTGACAAAGTTCAGGTCCAAAGGAAGGCTGAAATTTCAACTCGGGTGATCCTTCAGGATACGCAGATGTTAGAAAGTTCAGGACTAAAGTAGAGCTAAAATTTCGACTGTCTCGTGTTCCCTCAACAACAGCAGTCCGTCGCTGAATCTTTCGCGCCAACGAATGCGACTAGCGTGCTTAATCTATAACGTCGTAATTCGGCATTCTTTCGCAATGTTCTCCGATTCTTGATTGTTTTATATTTTGTTTTTCTTTCTGAAAGACGCACTTTAGTCTGTCGAGCAGAACGAGCTCGGACTTCATCGCGACGTAGACTCCCGAGTTTGACAGTCCCGCGTCACCATCGAGACGCGAATTAGTATTTCACGATTAGCGGACTCCACGGGACCGCGAAATTCATCCACAGTTTTACGCGACGTTGTTCGGACCCATCACGAGCGTCGACCATAAACCTGCAAAACTTTTCCCGTGAGAATATGCTAAACGTGCGAGAGCAGCATCACGCCGCTGCGACAGATATAATTCGATTATTTGATATTTACGACGAGAGGGGAAGGGGGGAGAGAGAGAGAGAGAGAGAGAGAGAGAGAGAGAGAGAGAGAGAGAGAGAG